GTCTGGTGTCCTCTGCGCCTTGGTAATGTGGAATCAGGTGGCTGCCTGTCTGCAGTGGGGTGATTCGGTGTCGTCCGCGTGACTCAGGACCTCGGTAGGGCGTGCACAGACCTGCCTGTCTGCAGCGGGCTGATTCGGCGTCTTCCGCGTGACTCTTCTAGTGTTTCTTGTGTTCTTGTGCTCCTTCTGCTTTCATATCAAACACTTATTTTTTGCTAAGCACTAGGACATTATTCTGTTTTTTAGTTCTTTGCTGTTGTGCGCATCACTGCGTATCACTTAAAATTATTTACTGGGATATGATTCACAGATCACAAAATCCATCCTTTTAGGTGTTTTAAAAAATAAATTCACAAGATAGTACAAACATCACCATTGTATAAAGAATCCCATCCTTTAGTGGTTATTCTTTATTTTCTTCTTCTCCTAGTCTCTGGCAACTACAAATCTCTTCTCTGGCTTGAGAGATTTGCCTATTCTGGGCATTTCATATAAATGGAATCAAACATTATTTGGCCATTTGCATCTGACTTCTTGCACAAGGTTTACTCCTGTACTTTATTCTTTTTTGTTGGCTGAATAATGTCTCATATAGATATATCATATTTTCTTTGCCCATTCTTCATTTGATAGACATTTAAGTTGTTTTCCCTTTTTAATTACTATGGTTATGAACATTTGTATGTAGGTTTCTGTGTGATCATATGTTTTGAGTTCTCTTCAGTATCTGTCTACATAGTAGTGAACTTACTGGGTCTTATGGTAAACTTTACATTCAGCTTTTTAAAGGACTTGCCTAACAGTTTTTCAAAGCAGTAACACCAGTTTACATTCCCACTAGCATTATCTGAGATTTCAGTTTCTCTTCACCAACACTTGTTACTTTCCTTAAACTGACAACATTCTCATGAGCATGAAGTACTATCTCTTTGAGGTTTTGATTTGCATGTCCCTCGTGCCTGACAGTGAACATTTTTTCATGTGCTTATTGGGCATCTGTATATCTTATTTGGAGAAATCTATATTTAATTCCTTTATCAATTTTTTTTTGGTACCAGAGATCAAACTCAGGACCTTGTGCTTGTGAGGCAGGCGTGGTGCCACTGAGCTAAATCCTCGGCCCCCTGTGTCAATTTTAATATTAGGCTATTTGCCTTTTTATTGTTCAGTTGTAAGCTTTCCTCTATATATTCTGGAGACTAGGCCCTTTTTATATGTATGATTTGCAAAATTTCTCCTCTTGTGTGGGTTATATTTATGCTTTTTAAAACAGTGTTCTTTGAAACACAAACACAAAGGTTTTAAGTTCTGATGATATCCAATATATCTTTTTTGTTGCTGTTGTTGCTTATACTTTGGTGTCATAATTAAGAAACTGTGGCTAACTCAAGGTCACAAAGCTTACATTTTGTATATAGTGGACCCTGGAGTTATGACTGAAGGACCCTAGTTAGCAAAACAGACTCCATATTGCTGCTGGACAACCCACCTGCCTGCCCTTTAGATAAACTTAGAAGGAAGAAGCTTAAAAACCTCCTCCCCTTAGAAAGTCTCTTAGAAACAACAATTAATCAACTATTGTTTTACAAATGTTCTAACAGCAAGACGTTCTGCTTCTGTACCTTTTGCTTGTTTGCTAGTTCTATCCCATAGGGGGGCCTAGAAACTGCTGGCCTCAAAGGTGTATAAAACATGTTTGTCTCCCTCTAGTCAAGGTTTGAGTCCGATGCTCGGCTTGGGTCCTGGCTGGTAATAAACTCCTGTGTGGATTTAATATAGGTCTCTGGTTGGTTCTGTCTTGCTGGGTCTAACAATGACCAGCCTGATGTGTGAACAACTTGGGTTACAACTGGAATTTTAGTTTGAACTTACCACCAAAGTCTTGAGTTATGACCCAAATGCTGGTCACTTGTGCTTCCAGATGGTCTCAGATACAGATTTAACCCTTAAAGAGTGCTGGAAGGAACATGACTACATCTTCTCCTGTGTGGGGTTCACTGAGAAATCCTGGGCCAATGTCTCTCTAAGGACACTGAGATCTGCCTGGAAGAAAGTATGGCCTAAAATTACACAGAAGAGAGACTTTGAAGGCAATTTACAAACTTGAATTACAACCAGCCCTGGGGGACGAATTTGAGTTTGTAAGTCAAGGGTCCACTGTAGTTTTAATTCCTACATTTAGGCCTCTGATCCATTTTGACTTTGGTTTTGGATATTGTGTGAGTTATGTTTCTAATTTCATTCTTTGGCATGTGGCCATTAGTTGTCCATGACTATTTGTTGAGATTTTTCTTTTTCTATTGAATGTTCTTGGATTCAAATTGGTTTTCTCTGATGGATATGTTTTTATCACCTTAAATCAGGCAGGCAGACTTTTGAGACTGGGGGTCTTCCTGTCTTTAGGCACACCCTTCTAACCCTAACGATTTCCTTTACTCTGTGTTATGGTTTGGCTCCTAAATATCCCCAAGCCTCATTATGCTAAAGGTTTGGTTCATCCCGGCACTGCTGGTAAGTGGTGAAACCTGTCTGAGGTAGCCCTGACAGGAAGTTAGGTTATCTGGGAATTTTACGCTTGATGGGGATATTCAGACCCCCGCCCCTTCATCTCCTTTGTTTCTTTCCAGGATCCATGATTTGAGGTTTGCTCCACTGTGTGCCCCCTACCATGCTCTTCTACTTCATTACAGACCCCAAGCAATGGAGCTAACCGACCACGGACTGATCTCTTGGAAAGCATGAGATGAGATGACCTAACCTACTATGAATGGCGATCAGAAGTGAAGAAGGGAAACCAAAAGAAGTTATGTCAATCTCATAATTAGTGCTGCAATTGATTTAAAATTTTTTTCCCTTTATGGCTATAAAACTTTTTACAAAAATGAATATTAACAGGAAAAAGCGAATTTAAAGCCAGGGAACATATTTTGTATTCAGGGCAAAGCATGTTTGCTATTGGTCAATGTTATTTGATGCTTTAATGATAAAGGGATACTAGAGAGAAAGTCATAGCATGAATTTTCATTCTTCTTCAGTAGACATTAAAAAATGTCTCATAAGGAGTTCTATGAATTGGTAAAAAAATAATTGAGATCAGAAAAATGAATCAAATGAAATTCCTGAGGAAACCAGTGGTGTTGCAAAGGGATTCTCATATATATTGCAGCAACAGAGAAAATTGGAAATTAAATCATGAATTTTTGAAGGTTTTCTGATTTTGCAACAGCCATTGGCTTGGTTCTCCTTTTCTTTAGTCAAGGCAAGAGCACATGCCATATGTCGCAGTCACACTGGACTGCTGAGAGTTAGTGGCGTGTCACTAGCACCCGATGCTGTGAACATTTCCTTGGGATGTGCGTGTGTAAGAACACATTCACACGAATATTGGTGACCTGACATCAGATGGTTCAAACCTAGATTGCGGTACAGGAAATGAACTCAAGACTAGAGGAGCCTCCTGTAGTTGGACATTAGAGGAGTAAAGAAGAACTGGAAACACCCATGTTGGAATCATCAGCTGTAGACAAAAACACGACATTTTATGTATTTAGAGTGAATTGTGAAGGCTTAACAAAGAGAATTGATCTATGTCTCCTTTCTTCTAGTTGCAGGGCATATCTCCCTCTGTCAGCCCCTAGCAAAGTGACAATGTCACAGGGAGTGTAAATCACCCAGGTTTGGAAGTGGGTGGTTGATATAGTTGGCATATGAATGATCTATTAGAGTGATGTCTTCCTACATCATCATTCTTTCAAGGTATGACACTAGTATCTTTGAACACAAGCAGGAAAAAGTAGGAGACTATTGCCTGAGATTTGGCATTTTGATTATGCTTTTTCCAAGCATGAAGTTATTTCTGAGAATATTATGTAGACACTGTACATATTCTACTAGCTAATTATTACTAATGACATAACTAGTTTTCTGAGTGTTTTTAATTTCTAAGTGTTTTTAGTCCCAAGAGGTAAAACCTGATTTTGTGTGTTTTATGACTCTTACTACCTGTTTAAGGTTGGTCAGAGTAGATTCTTGATAAAACCTACTGGTTTGGCTCTAGCAGTTTATGAAGTCATTGGGTAGATAATTCTGTTACTTCCAACATCACCAGGATTTGAATATAAAGATCTGTGTATGAAACAAGCTTCTCATAATACTAGCCATGGCTCATGACAGATTACTTTTATTTGGTTAACTGAATTACTTGTAAAATAAGGATGGAGATTCTTTCTTGATCATAGAAGATCAAATGAAACTACCTAATAGAATACTTGGTCATCTGGAAAGCAATCTATAAACACAGTGTTGACTGATTATTACTTAAGATTTGGGTACCAATTATGACATTTTCTTCGGTCATTCTTCTCATAAATGTTAGAAGCAGGTAGATACTGCAACCAAGAGCCTAACCAGGAGTTGGGGAAAGTGAAGACAGATCCCAGGCGTGCATAAGCTAGGGCACTTGTACAGATGAGCGGTGAGTTTTGGCCACTTAGCTTCTGGAAGGGGCTGTGGGGCTCTAAGAATTCACCACACTGTCAGCCCCATGGGAAGATACATGGAACTGGTTCCTTACTGACTCTCATTTTGATTATTACTGAAGCAAGTAGGCAGAAGGGACTCCACCAAAAATGTAGATATGGAAGGAATTCAGGGCAGTTTAGGGATGGCACCGAGGATTCATCTCCATCAGGTGCAGAGTTTTCCATTTTCTGGTGAAGAAATTACAACAATACCACCACCACTACTACTAGTACTAAAAAGCCTGTGCATAAAAAATCTAGTAGGAAGTCATATTCTGCAGTATTTATTTTGCCACTTTCCAGTGTAAGAAAGATGCTCTGAACAAGAAACATCACAAAACAATCAGCTACATTTGCTACATTCTCTGAATCATAGAAGAAGCCAGAGGATATGTTCATTCAATGCCAACGGCAAATGAAATTATGGGAAAGATGTGCAGAGAGCGGACCTCAACAGGTTGGCTGTTTTTTGGAAGCTAAAAACACTAATGCTTGGAAAGAGGAGACAGAAAGCAGAGGAAATGATTTAAGGAGAGCTGTCATTCTCTGCTGGGGAGGATATCTGGTCTTGTGGAGGTTCTGGAAAATTTGCTTCAGTTTCTTCCTCCTCTTGGACTGGAATAATTTCTATCTCTTCTTCATTCTTTGATTGGGAAGATACTTCTGTTAGCTCAACCATTTCTTCCTTTATTTCAATTGTCTGTTCTTTTTTCTCTTCAGCTGACAAGAGAACCACGTTCTGGAACACAAACACATTTTTCTTGGCTTTGATCTTGACATCTTTCTCAGTAATCTCTACACATCTTTATCAAGTATCTCCTAGTTTTTATGCAGCTTATATTATTTACCTCCAGTTACCAGGACTAATTACTCAAGTGCTCAGCTCTTTGTCAAATCACTTTCTTATCAAAATGCAAGTCTGAGTCAACCCTGGAGGGCTGCAGGCCCTGCTGCTTTGCCTGGAAGGAGCACACAGCGTGGGAGAGGAACTCTACAGTAACAGAGGAGCTGGATTCTAGTTCTGGCTCCTCTGCTGTGATCCTAGCCCTGGGGAAGTAATTTTCTCTTTGTTACCTATGTTCTGCATTTGCAAAATAAATTGTAAATCTGTCTATTTAAAATCTAAGTAGTTCTGAAGCAGCAAGCAGATCTATCATCAGGATATTTGTATTTCCCAGCTTTGGAGTCTCTTTGAACCTATTGTTTTGGGAGAGGAATTAGGTGGAGGCTTGGGAAGAAGACGGGAGACCGAGAGATGAAGCCAAAGAACCAGTGACTTCACCCAGGCTCGGACCTCAGGCCTCCGCTTTTATGCGCTAAGTGTAGAACTATGAAAGTGAGACGGAAGTCGTCTGAAGTTGAGGAGAAAGGCAGGTGAGAAGATTCACCTATGGTAGACCTATGTTCTCCATCGAACTCTAGGCTGATTTCCAATTTCAAGACACTGTCTTCACTATTGATATTTTCTGCTTTCTAGAAATGTGGAAGATCGTTCCTAGCGACGCTCATAGTTTCAAGGTCTCCTGAGAGCCCGTTCTCCATGAAGGACGCGGTGTGGTGCACGGTGATGGGCAGAGTGGCGTCTACTTACGGCTTTGGATCTGGAGCACAGTGTTTTCCATTCGTGCTCAACGATGCCAGCTGCCACAAGTTTCTGGAAGAAGGCAAAGGTCAGCATCACCGACAGAATGCCCTGGAAGACAGGAGTGAGGGTGACAGTGTAGTAACGGCGCTCACCGTGTGGCTGTTGACTAAAACCAAGCGATTCAAAGATCAGCTCTCGAAGTGGGGACAGCTAGTCTAGAGGACGTCGCCTTTGTAAGCTGAACCTTAAGACAACTTCAGGCACACAACAGATGGCTATCACGTTGCTGAAGGAACTAGAGCAGGAATACTCAGTCGGAGAATCAACTCTGTGTAGAATAAATATTGAGTTAAGAGTCAGGCTGGCCATTTAGCTCAGTGGTTTCACCGCCTGCTGCGCAAGCGCGAGGACCTGAGTTTGATCCCCGGTACCCGGCCAAAAAAAAATACATTAAAAAAGAAAAGAGTTAAATTCTATCCAGTTTTATGTGGTGTGGTACCACACCCAGGAAACTTCTCCACAGTTGGGGAATGTGTATTTTTCCCTTCAAACTCAACATTAAAAACTCCATGAAGGAACAGATGTTCATAGTATCTTAGGAATTCCTTCCATATTCCTCTAATGTAATAGTGATGAATATTGGTAGCACTGATTGTATTAATAATAACAGTGTAAAGCAGGTAAACATTGTTTTCTAAATATCACTCTTCTAAGTACTTTGTACATGTTAACTCAATTATTCCTGAGAACAACCCTACAAACGAAACAATGTTACATTTCCATTTTACAGTTGGAGAAACTGAGGCAGCGTATGGGTAAAATTCTTGCTCCAAAGGCACACAGGCAATGGGGAGCAGACTTGAGTTGGGTCTAGAGCTGATACTCATGGTAAGAATGCGTGCAGCATTTCCTCCCTGGAGAGAAGCCCATTTACACTTACCAGGAACACAGATTGTATGTTGTAACAGTACTGTGTGGATGGAGAGTTCTTCTCTGAGGGAACAGCTGGTTCACAGTTGTATATGTTAATATATGGCACGGGAGTCTTAATAAGAATCAGTCTCTCCATTTTTAAAAAATGGGAAAGTTTGATATTAAGTATGTCCATGATCAAAAGAATTATTCCAGTAATGGCAGCAAAGAGGGTCAATGAGTTCAGTATTACTTTCACTCTGATCTGAAACAGAGATGAACAGGTTTATTCATTAGGTTGGCTTTCCATTTGGAGAATATAAACCAGGGAAGGAATCCTGGATGCTATTCCCCTGTCTCACAAGGGTGCCACACTTAAATGATATGGAAGTTTCTTTCAGTGCATTTGAGCCTCTTTCTCACTATAAAATAAAATCTTTAGCTCCCCATGTTTGCTTTTCTGTCTTCCTTATTTCATTTTATGTGACCACCAGCCACCCAGTCTCTCAAGCCCAAGCTCTAGGAATAGTCCTTAATTCTTAGAGCTTGTTTCCTTGTGTCTTTCCCCACCATGATCCTGATAAGCAACCTGTAAATATGTGTTGAGTAAATTAAGACTGATGCCATCCCGATAATTCTCTCTGCACAAGAAGGCAGGGCTGAGAGGAGGAGGAGGCCTTACATCGCACTGTAGTGGGTCGGTGGTGCAGGCCTGGGTGGGAGGGAACAGGCGGAAGCCCCAGGACTGTGGCACTGAAGAGAGACAAAAGCAGCAGCAGTGACAGCGCCACCTACTCTGCTGACCTAGGTTGCAATCAGCCCCAGTCACCAGGTTTCAAACCAGCTTGGGCTGAGGTCTCTGGGTAGCACAGATGAGAGAGCGGCAGAACGAATGTTCTGCCTTGCAGGAGTGACGCACGTTCGATACAGGAAGATGTGTGTGGCACATCCCATAAGCACAGGGTCTCTGTTGCATATTTCTGAAGCACTTAATTCGCCCCTGGCCGAAGAGCTGGTGGTATTTGGAGACTAGAATAACTTGATCTTCACCAACAGTGTCTCCCTTCCAGACCTCTCTCGGACAGGACCATGGCAGTCCGCTCAGTCCTTCCCTGACCTCAGAACTGACTCAGCTTGTGTGTGAGAGGAAACTACTGTAAGCCCCTCTCACCTGTCTAGAACAGGGAGCTCTTGGGGGCCACCTCTCCCGGGCGGGCGTTATGTGTCCTGAGGGTCCCGTGAACCAGACCACGCCCAGCTGCTAGGACACGTCCCGTGTTGTTCCGCCGATGTCATCCCTGACAGCAGGGCTGGCACCTCCACCTCACAGACGGAGACTGGGAGGTGCATGGAGATAGGGTGGCCTGCTCAGGGTTGTAACTCAAGGTTCTAACTTGGGCAGAACTTGAATCTGTCACAACACTGATCAGGTCAGTGTCCTAAATGGTGACCTGGGAGAGGAAAGGCGGCCGTCAGAAAGGTCTAGTATTTCCAAACAGCGCTGCGCATGCCAGGACTGTGCAGTGGCCCCCCAGGCTCTGGCTTCTGTTGTGTTTGTGTGAACCACAGAGTGCACGTCTTGCTTTTGAGTTCGTGATCAATTAGAGCACGGCAGAGCCACGAGGAGCCTTGGACTTTTGGGGCAGAGAGGCCCTGCCTGCAAGCCCTGTATGGGTCAGCTTTCTGCTGAGGAAGAAGGTCCTTCCCTGACGTGCAGGATGAAAGGACATAAGGCTACTTGCCAGACTTGTCCTGGGGCTTTTCTCTGCAGCTACCAGGAACGATCCAGAAGCAATAAACTGTAAAAACGAGAGGCAGGGAGGGTAGGGAGGGAGGGCAGAGAAAGGGACAAAGGGAAGGGGACAGGGAGGTCACTTTTGCTGGTCATGGAGAAGTCACCGCCCCTTCAGACACGCTGAGCTCTGCACCCATTTTTGTCACTTTTCAGCAGGCTCAACTGCATTCTTCTTTACTCAGGCGCAACTGCATTTTAGCCATGGCATTCCACACCCAGGGACTCGTGGAATGCAGTAAAAGCAGAGAGACAGAGCTCACCTTTTCCCGTCAGTACCCCAGGCAAGCAGCCTCCTCTAGTCCACAGTCTCGGATAGGAGGGAACAGCAGCCGGCAGCACCCCAGCCCTTACTGACGCGGCTTGAGACAGGCCCTGGTCACCCACCTTTCACAGTGGCCTGGAAGCCTGTCTCCAAGGAGCAGGTGCGTTAAGTTCTATTTTCAGCTTGACTCTTTTCAACTCATGAAAAAGTACTTTGGAGCTCACTGTGCCAAATACCTAGTGCCTCCCTCGGCATGGAGCTCGCTGTGCAGAGGCCCTGCTGTGAATGGCTCCCGCTCTGCGCGGGCCCACACGGAGCACCTCTGAATTCACACGAGGCCCGGCCGCTGGCTCAGTGTAGTCTGTCTCTCGTCCCGCTTAACTACTTTAACTCAATAATCTACTTCCTGTTCTCCTGCTTTGCTCAGTGCAAAAAGAGCCTGCATGTTTTGAGCGTGCTTTCTTGACTGCCTCATCAGTGGTCACTGTTTTCTCACTCACCATAACGCCTCCCCAGAGAGGGTACCACACAGCCAGGCAGATGGGTGCGTGGACACCGGTGGGGATCATCAGCAGACCCCCCAGGGCAAGGTGGAAGAGCCCATTCATGATCTGGATGGCCTGGGGAGAAGAGAGCACTGATCAGGAGATGAATCATTGCTGCTGGGAGGGAAAGCTTGGGTCGGAAGCCCTGGCTCCTGACTTGGCCCACGCAAAATGCCCAGCAGAGGTGGGAGAGGTGCCAAGGATTTTGCTTTTTTCTTTTTCAGGTCAATCGTTTCCCACCCATGGGTCATTTCCAAGGAGCAGTGTTATGCTGGGGTCCTAGTAAGGGACGGGGGTGGAAGTCCCTAACATACACTCCTCCAGACCAAATGGAGACCTGGGACCACTCTGAAGTGACCCGGGTGACAATGTCTCCAGCGCATCCATGCTTTGGCCCCGGTGTCAGCCATGAAGAGACACCAGGGCGGGCCTCACAGCTTCAGGCTGAGTTGAGCTCTGTCCGTGGCCCACAGAGGCAGCAGGGCTGGGGTACCTCCAGGGCTTGGACTGGGGTGGGGTGTCTCTCACTTACCCCCAGAGCCTTGGACTCCCTCATGAAGAAGCCCTGCGTGGGGCCCACTGCCGGCAGCACTCTCTGGAGGTTTTCTCTTTGAGCAGGTTGCACAGACATAGGGCCCTTCAGAGGCCCTGCTGGGAAAGTTCCACTCACCGAATTCCCAGGTGCTGCCATTTTGTCCTCAGAGCTCCTAAACTGAAACGAAAAATGAGGAGAGCAAGGACGAGATGCTAGTGACTTTGTGTGCGTCTCTCCGCAAACGCTCCAGCGGTGTCACTGAGCATACACAGCTTCCTCCTGGTGGCCTCCTGCCCAGGGCTGAGGAGGGATATGGAGGGGCTGTCTGGGGCCCGGACTGGGCCAGGACTCTGTCAGCATTCTTGGCAGTGAAGTGAGGGCAGAGTTTGCCTTTGAATACGATGCCATGCATTGTGTGCATCCACAGGTATTCTTCTTTAATGTTCTTCTCTTCCTTCTTCTGCCTTCTTTTCCAGTGCTATGGATTGAGCCCAGGGCCTTGTGCTGCCAGGTGAGTGCCCCACCACAGAGCCCATCCACATGTCTCGTCTCCATCCCCGGTGCTGACTGATATTTAATGATGGAAAATGTATTTCCTGTTGATTTGTTCTCAGGTCCATTGTGAAGGGCCTGTGGCATGGTGTGAGGCCATGGTGAGGAATGTGCTCACCTCTGTCCCTCTAACTCTGCCACTTGGAGCAAATCACCTCCAGAAGGCTCAAGTGCATGTAAGTTGGATTGCCAGAGTCTAAACAGAAATCCTTCGATTTGCTCTGAGATGTTGGCGAGTGCTTTCAGTTCTCCGACCCTTAGGTCCGTCAACTGCACAATGCACTAATACTGACGCTGTCTCCTAGGTTGCTATATGACTGAAATGCACTGCTGGGTCGTGGAAGGCTCTTGATCCTACTGTAGCTGAGTGTCAGCCTTTCAGGGAAGCCTTCCTGAGCCCTCACTCCACAGCACAGCCTCTTACTGGCTCTCTCCCCACAGCATCCTGTTTCCTTTGCTCCGTGCCACCAAGCCCTTTGGACAATCACCTTATGTCTTTGTTGGTTGTAGCTCTTCCCACAGAATGTAAATTCCAACAAATGAGAGATTTTTGTTCTCTCATTTAGTATTTAAAATAATGCTTGGACTTAGTAACTTCTTCATAAGTATTATTGAAGGAATAATAAATGTATGTAAAGCACCCATGTCTGAATAAATAGTAGCTGGTTTTTTTTTTTTTTGGTACCAGGTATCGAACCCAGGACATTGTGCTTGCAAGGCCAGCACACCGACACTGAGCTAAATCCCTGGCAAGAGTAGCTGTTTTTATTGCTGTGGCTGTTCTTAACTTTCTGGATATTACTGTTTTATCTGTCTGTGAGATGAGAACAATATGCCTCTTACAGAGATGCTAACATGACTGAAAGAGTGTAGCAAATCCTTACTGTTACTCTTCATGGGCTGCTTGTTTCTGAGGAGGAGGGTGTTGAAGAACTTTCCCATTCTAACATTTAAGACTTTTTTCAGCCTCTTCACTCTGTACTTTCTTTTGGTTCCCATTCATTCATTCATGTCACTTGTAGGGTTCATTCATTCATTTGTTCATTCATGTCACCCACTTGCAGGGATTCTGTTGGGTGTTTCCTGGCCTCTGGAAACCTCTTTTAGGGATCCCATTTTTGGGCTTGTCTCTATTGAATGTAACTCATGTAAAGAGCCTTCGAGGCCAAGATCGCTTATCCAGGATTTTTATTTACTAACATCACACGGAGCTGTATAGCTGCAGGTCTGCGTGAGACCTGCTTCAGCCTCTCACATTTGTTCCTGCTTTATGGTTCCAAAGAGATTTCGTGTGAGACATCTCCTTTGACCCACATAGAGTAGGCAAGGAATGAAGCATTGGCTCTGTTTTAGAGAAGAGCAAATGAGGGTAGAAATTTAGGCAGCTTGTTCGCAGTGACACAGATATTAAAGATTTGTGAGGAGGCCTCAGAGGTATCAAAGGAGGCATCCATGGAGCCAGGCTGCAGACAGGAGAGTGGCCTTTGCCTGTGCACTCCCCCCTCCCTCAGACAGGGCACCATGGGTGATTCAAAAGCAGCTGAAAACAGGCATGGGCTGGAGGGAAGGAAGAGGATTGACCGGGTGGTTCTCACCGGCTGCGGCCTTCCCTAGCTGCCATGTGCCATGGGGACCCACCCAGGAGTACATTCATGCGAGCCACTGAGGAGTGTGCAGACGGATGCCAGTCATCGGCAATGGAGGTTCAGCGAAGTCCATCTTTTAGCAAGTACAGGAGGAGCACGACAGCACCGCAGCCCTCTCCGGGGCAACTTTGGTAGAGGTGAATTAAAAAGCAGAGGTCACCAATCATTTGGACTGAAGGAGATGATTGGATTCCCATTGCTTTAATTTTTTCTTATCCATCAGCTGCCTGATGAAGGTGGTGTTTTTATTATTGGTGAGAGGAACCTCTTAATGTAGGCACTATACAAAGAAAGAACTTCACTGCATGGAAAGACGTAAGACTAGAACTAGCTCATACACTCCCAAGGATGCTGTAGATTCCCTCAGCTTTGGCTTGTCTTTAAAAAATACATGTACACAACAACTTAAATATAACCCAACTCATAATTACGCTCAAAGACTAGTGGCAGATTAGTAGGGGTTGCTGACTACATTTGTCGAACTATGATAACAGTAGGCTCGAATTTCCACTGATGATAAAATCAGCATGGACACTAACATCAGGACTCGTGTGCTCACACACCTCCCTGTTTTATTGCAGCAACTTCTGCAAATCCTTTTTGCTGTGTGAAGGTACCACTGTCTCTGAGCCCATCCACGGAAGATCTGACAGCCTTTATGGGTTTTGGTTTGATAGTGATGTTTAGGCACACTAGCCCCGCCCTGTACGGAGGGGTTCAGGGCCGTCTGACTTTTGCTACCTCAACTTCCTCTCTGGCCCTCCAAACAGCTCTGCATTTGTATCCATTTGGCCTCCTGTGCACTGGTCTCTGAGGACTAACAGCCTGACTTCCGTTATCCTGTGCTCTTCAGCTCCCTCTATCTACTAAGACTCACTCGCCTTTCCAGGAGACCAGGTCTTCCCGGCATTTGTGGTCCCTTACTCTGTGGCCTTCCACAGCAGTTAGTTCAGTTCTGCTGCTTTCTATGTCTCTTCTCTATAAATTTAGGAAAATAGCTACTGTGCCCATTTCAAACTATTCTTTTTAGAGTGCGAGATAGTTTGCACGTGATAAGGTACGAAAGGCTCAAAGAGTAATTGTTATACTGGACCCTTTTTATGGCTGAAATATGCCAGGGTGTCCCCCGGCCCCGAAGCCCCTTGCTTCAACCTCTCAGTGGCCCAGCTTCCCTTCCTTTACCCCAGCTTCTTCTAAGACCTGCATCCCACCGCTGCCCCACTTCCTCACCACCCACCCATTCCTCAGGGCTCTGCAACTATGTTCTGCCAGCGTCATTCGGCCATAAAAGCTCTGCTCAAAGACCGGGGCAAATGCAGTGGGCTTCTTAGGCCCTGGGCCTCAGATTGCTGTATTTCCCGGGCTGAAGAAGTGGGAGCCAGATTTCCCTCCAACCCCGTCTCCACGGTCAGTCAATCCAGGTCACGTGATCCCTAGCTCTGCCACACATCTTGTACACGGGTCTTTCTTCTATACCCAGGGTCAGCTCAGAAGTTCTATTCTTGTTTCCTTTCCTGGACTAGTGCAAATAGCTTTTTATTTTGCCTTCAATCACTTTCTTATCCATTCTGCGCAGGCTGCTAGACCAAGCTCCCTAAATCCCAAGTCCTTCCTGCCCTGTGCTGGAACTCTCCTGCTAACCTGTGACTGCTGCCGGGGAAGCTCGGCCTTGTCCTCCCTCCTGAGGACACCCCAACCCAGGGCACTCCCAAAGCTCACATCCCCCACAAGCCACCGGTGGCCGTGTCTTCCGCCTTCTCTCCGAGCCTGCTCCTTCACTCAGGCTCTTCACTTACTGTCTGCTCCCTGTCACGTGCCCCGGGCTGCTGTTTGCCTTCCTCGCCCCATGGCAGGGGCTCCTCTTTCAGCCCCGCCATGCTCCCATCTGTTGCTTTTCACCAAGGACTTTCTCTGACGGATGGACATTCCCGAAGGGAACTGTGTGTCCTACAGGTTCCACAGGGAGCCTGCTTCCTGCTACCATGAGCTCAGTGAGTGCTGCGCGGAACATCGAACTCAGAGCCTTCCTCTGGGCAGGTTTGTAAACATGCAGCACAGGGTGCCAACTCCGAAGGTAGCAGTTTCATCTCACCTGACCGGCGGTGCTGAGATCGAGTCATTTTAAGGGAATCAGAGAAGCAGTCTCTCTCTGCCTCTGCCTGTCTCTCTACCTCTCTCTGGTTTCAGGAAGCTATGGTGACACAGGGAAGACTCACCCTGCTGCTGTCCTCACAGTGTCCTCCTATCCCAGGTGCCCACTCTCTCTCCGCCACTGGCTTCTTAGGTGACAGGTCTGAAGCAGGATTCTGTGGTCAGTCTGATGTCCACCAATCCCCTCTAGAAAGTGTTAGCCTGCGAGGCTCAACATCACCTAGGTGCATTTCTAGCATTTACAGGAGAGGGATTGGAGTTGTTTTCCTATGGCCACGATTGAGTTCTCATTTGGTGTCAGGCAGTCTTACGGCCTCTGGAGTTTAGCTTGTCTCATCCTCATGAGGGGTTTCCCACTGCCCTGTTTAATGGGTGAGGACCAAAGCTGTTGTGTGGCTCGTCCGTGGGGGAGCTCCAGCTGGAACCCCGCCGGTTGAAAAGTGCGCTTTAATCTGCGCACCGCTGGACTCCACTACCTTAGAGTGGCTCACAGGTGCTGTCCAGGGTATGACTTGAGAGGACAAGTGGTTAAGGCAGTGGGTGGGTAGCGAGCCTTGAAACGGCCCAGCTCAGACTGTGACGCCGCTGGAAGCCCTGACAGGCGAGCCCCAGACCAAAGCACTCTCAGTCCCTGCAGCTACTCCCCCCAGCCCACCACCTCCTTCAGCCGTGGGAACACAGCCCGCAGATTCCTTACCTGAGTCTCTGAGGCTGTGAGGCACAAGGGCTGGTTAGGGCGTTCGCTGCTGAGCTCAGTTCTCTGTGTCTGGTTCTCCAGTCCTGGACGGGGAGCGGGGCAGCCCGGGCCTGGGTCTCAGATGGACAGCAGGTGACAGGAAGTTGGTAGCTTCTGCTGCCTTGTGCTCTGCTCCAGTTACTTCGGTTTGACAGAAGCCAAAGGAGACACAAAAAACTTTTTGCCCTGCCAGGAGGTTTCACTTCTCGAAAAATACCCCAGGGGACTGCGTGGGGTGCTGCGAGAGACCTTAATTAGAAGAACCCTGTGAGCAGGTGTGGGTGGTGGGTCCCCAAGGGCAAGTGGGGCTCTAGAAATTCTCCAAAGATGGGCTGGTGAGACTTTTACCTTTTCGCTTCACTTGCAGGGGTGAGTAGGTGGGGAGGAGGCATCGTGCAGAGATGCAGAATTGCTGAGCGCAGGACTCTGAGGGCCGGACTTAGGGTTTCCAAAAACTGCCTCCCTCTGCTCACTCCTAGAGTTCAGGCATCCATGTATGTCTTGCATCAGATTTAGCTTAAATGGCCTAAAATATAACTTAGTGTCACAGAACATGAACCAGAAGCTTGAAGCAAGAGTCAGCTTCCATATTTGGGGACATAAATTGAAAGAGCACTTTGACTGATGGACCCACCTTGTCCCTCTGTCAGCCTAGTTCTCAGTGTCCCCTCCCCTGTGTGGATCGGAACCACCTGACCATGAAGCCCAGTGCTACATCCAGTGGGGGGACAGAAGAAGTCATGGTGTCAGCAGAGTCTGAACATTAGGGGTAAATGAAAGAAAGATTTGCCTAAAGATATTATCACCCCCACTCCATTACAATCTTTATGTTCAAGTGTTCTACTTTTAATTTCTTGTCCATTGCTTTGTTTCATTAGAGACACAGAGCCATAGTTATGTCATTATTTGTTCATTTAATCAGAAAAGTTGAGATATGGCAGCTCCTTTATTTAATCAAAGGTTAACCTGTCTATTTCTCTCTTCTCTCTCTTTCTCCCCCTGCCTCTCTTGTCTTTAAGATAGTTTGAAACTACAGGGCTAGAACCAGTGAGTAGAAGAGGTTTCAGGGAGGTTGATTTTGATGGAATATAAAAAAAAATGCTCTCCATCACTGGAGCAGTTCATCAGTGGAACAAGCTACTCTTTGAAGATCCAGAAAGAGGGGCCCGGAGTGGTTTACCCCTCTGACTGTGGGTCCCTGGGCTCTGCTGAAGTGCTTGAGTCGGGGTGATGACGAGGATCATGACACAGTGCCCTGGTCTGCTTTGCGCTATTATAGCAGAATGCCCGGGCCTGCGTAATTGATAAAGAATGGAGATCTATTTCTTACAGCTCGGGAGGCTGAGGAGTCCCAATCAGGGATCCCACCGTGGCAGGGGCCTTCATGCCCTGGAATCCATGGGAGACGAAGCGTGAGGGGAACAGGCATGTGTGAGAGTGCCAGGATGGATGCCTGTGTCAGGCACCCTCGCCTGCAGTAACTAGCCCTCCTCCATGGTGACCGTGCGGACCCACCCAAAACGCCGGCCTCCTCGGACCCAAGCCCTCTCAGCAGCATTGCACTGGGGTTACGCTGGGGGGCCACATCCCAACTGGAGCCACAGGGTGTGAGATACGGAGAACTGAGCAGCCCGGGTTGGGTCCAGGATGGCAGGTGGGTGGGGTGTAGCCTCCCATGGCGGGTGTGGGGGCCGGGTCAGGTCCCGGCAGCTGTGGGTTCAGAGGGGCTCCAGCAGGCCCGCACAGCCTGGTCTTGGCACCCTTTGCTCTGTGGTGTCCTTCTTTCCCTGTCTTGGGTCTTGGGGTTTTGTTATTCCAATCTTTGTGACCAGTGAGATAACGCAGAGGGGTCTAATGTGGTTCCTCCTAAGTAGACGTAATACAATTTATACAGATAAACCTTTCCTTTGTCTTTGCTGATTTGGACTGATTGTCTTTCATGCTTGGGGGTGTTGAGATTTCCTCCACAATTAGGGTTTGTCACTAGCACCTTTGATCCATAACCTTCTGTTCTGTTTAATGTTTGAGGATATTTTCTTGAGTCTGTTGCACTTGTGAAGTTTTTTCTTTGACTTAATCTCTTATTATCTAGTGGTCCTCTCTTTTCCTAAGAAAATCTCTTAAAATCTACATAAAAGTACACCAATATTTATGCAGTAATACAGACTTATCTTTTATCCACTCCCCAGATCTCTTAGCCCTCTCATTACTTATCCTCGAGCCACTTTGCCTCCCTCAGGAAGTCTGTGCTCTGCTGCATTCGTAGCTGTGTCCTTTTCACACTTGGGCCTTGCTCCCTACAACCCTCAGAGGCAGGGCTGGATTTCTGTTGCCTGCATCCTCCCAGTGTTGTCTGCTGTTGGAGGATCTTGGTGAAGGAGATGCAGGCCCCCCCCCCGCCCCCCAGGAGAGAGGCTGAATATCGAACTAATCTACAATTTGGTTACAGGTCAAAAAACCCCCATGTTGTTCTTATAAATAATTCATCCTAAGGAAAGTGCACTCTCAGGTATTTGACAGTTCATAGTTCTGTTCTGATGAACTACTTTACATCTGTAGCAGGAAAGCAGCATCGATTGGTTTCTTACTTGAATGCCTAGCACTGTCCACATTAAAAGTGCTCTGACTGTATAGAGTATTGATTGATTCTGTTTTATAATTGCAGAAACTAAAGTTCAGGAAATAAGGGAGTTTCCTCCATTTCTCACAGCTAGTAAGTAATAAAATAAGTGATGTTTATTAAGCAAGAAAGTCTCAATTATAAAATTTAAAAAGCTACTAAGTGGGTTTTAAGTTGCTGGTGCTGATAAAAATCACATATTTCATTTAAGGTACACAGCAAATCCATTAGAGAAAAGATATTCCTACTACATTTTAGTCTGGGAGTTTAAGGCTCACAGAGTTTAAGTAGTCTGTTCAAGTCCTACAGCTCTACCAGGGGAAATGACATTTTAACCTAGGTGTGGTCCAAGCCATTGCCAGTCCCTGTTGGGGTTGTCACTCGTCGTATGTCTCAGACCTCACACATCGAGCATCGCGGGATGTCAGGGGTTTTCAGCGGAGCCCCAACCCATGGGAAATCAGGAACCAGCAGCTGTTCTCCGGCTGTGCGTCCTGACTTTCACCTTTCACAAGGGTGCGCACCTGCAGGCACGAGCTCCTTCCAGCCGAAGTGCAGGCTCCTTAGTTTATTCTTTTCAGCCTGCTAAGTTTTTATTTTTCACATGTGGGATTTGGAGTTAAGGATCTTGATTAAAACCCTGACTCCAAATCACACTTCTTTCATGGTTTCAGAAAAGTTAGCCACTTGGAGCTTCAACTTCGTGCCTGCGGAGGCAATGTATTAATATAATATAAGGCGTCGTCTGGGAGTCCCCTGGGTTCTGGACATCCTTTTGGGGGGTCCATCAACCCAAACTATTTTCTTAATAATAATAGCTTATTCTCCCTTTTCGCAAGATTATAGTGTTGTGTCCCTCAGGACATAGAATATGAGATATGCAGATCAAAGGCAAAGCCACTGAGGATCCAGCTGCTTCCCCCTGTGTTAGAGCAAACCCGCAGCTCCCAGCCTTCGCCCTGCGCCGGAGGCCTCTGCACATCTCTAGCAGCCGCTGTCTGGCCTCCCATGGGACCTAACGGGTGTGGGTGTTCGCGTGCGGTGGGTGGGGCTTGCGAAAGTTCCCAGGCAACAGTCAAGTCGGGAACTGTTGTTGTCCAGAAAGGAGCGGGCACAGAAATCGCTGCCTTTCTCTATGTTTATTTTGGAAGACAGTTATTTTAGGGAAAATGTTACTTACGTTAAGGTGCAGCGACACCTCAGTGGTTTCCAGGGCCGTGAGGAGATTCTGAGCTCAGAAAGCCCCAGAGGCGGGGACTGGGTGACCGCATCTCTGCAGCCAGGCGACGGCCTGTTGATTCCACGGCTCCGATGCTGACACAGCGGGCTTGTGACCCTGAGCAAATCACCTATCCTTTTTGTGCCATGGCTTCCGTGTTTTGGGCACAGTAATAAAATCCACCCGTTAGAGTTGATGCGAGGTTAAATGCGTGACAGGCATGGCATTTAGCATGACGCTTGGGACATAGCAGAGGCTCTGCCAATATTCACTGTCAGTTTTACTACTGTTGCTGTTCTAGTGGACCTGCTCATGTAGAGGAAGGTTTGTGGGCTAAACCATTCTCCCCTTCTGTGTGTGTGTGTGTGTGTGTGTGTGTGTGTGTGTGTGTGTGGTGTGTGTGGTGCTGGGATCGAACCCAGGGCCCTGAGCGCGCTAGGCCAGCACTGTACCTCTGAGCTCTCCTTCAGGCCCGGCCAAAACATTTTCCCATCCACCTTGTGTTTCACCCAGGACAGCACGGCAGGTGCGGAGCTGGTGAGGAACCGGGAGCGTGGCTGCCTTGTCCCTCCTGGGCCTGTTCCTGGCCCTGGCTCACGTCTGTGTGCACAGAGGCGACCTCACTTTGCTGTCCTGCAGTCGAGAGGCTTCAAGGTGAACAGAGTGATGATGCCCAGGGATCGTTCTCCTTGGGGAGAGGGGCAGTGACACCACCGGCCGGAAGTGCTCTGTCCCCAGATGGCCCCAGGCCCCACCAGGTTTACATCCCTCTCCTGCGCCTCAGAAACGCGCCAGCCTGGAGATTCTGGGTTCCTCCCGGGCTTCCTCACACGCAGAATTCTCCTCGAGGTGACCTCACACCACATCTTTATTTCCACAGCGCCGTCCAACACTGCTTCCAACAACTGTCGAAGTGACATCTCTGGAGAAGGACAGAGAAATGAGTGATTCAACCATGCTGAAGGCCAACAGCATCACCAGGATTCCCTGTGACAGAAGAGAAGAAGACGCGAGGCGCCGTGGACTAGCACAGTAGTGGTTTTTCTGACTAGAATAAGTTAGGGTTAAACAGGCCACAGAGAGCTCCCATCTCACAAATGAATGCGATGCTCTGGAACCAAATTAGTGCAGAATGATGCGAATGTATGGACATCCAGCTACTGTAAATAGAGCGTAGGAAGCAGATATTTTGTTCAAGAAATTCTTAGGAAATAATACAGCTTCTAAATTATTCCTAGGAAATAACTTCAGAAATGTCTATTGTGAGGCCTAAAATACGTGTATGCTTAACTTTGTTAAAAATTACCCAAGTAGTTTGTGGAGATGGTTGAACTGTCTTACACTTCTACCAAAAGCCACGTAAGGGCCAGGGATGTAGCTCAGTGGGTGCCACCGCCTGCCTCACAAATGGAAGGTCCTGAGTTCGATGCCCGGTAACAACAACAACAACAACAAAAAAGCCACATAAGAGTTCCAGTGCTTCACATTCTCACCAACAGCTGTTACTGCCAGTGCTTTAATTAAAGTCATTTGATGTGACTTCAGTAGTAGGTTATTGGGATTCAAACTTGCAGTTCTCTGACGACCCTACTGCTGACGTGTTTTTATGTGTCCCCTAACCATTTGCCATTCTTCTCCTGTGGAGTAAACGCGTGAGCCTTACTCTTTTGAATTTTTCTGCCTGTTTATTACTGATTTTCAAGAATGTTTAATATAGACCGAATATGGCTTCTTTGCCAGATATATGCATTGGGAGAAGGCTCCCCCATTCTGTGCCTTATTTTCCATGTTCTTCATGATTTTCTTGATGAGGAGGTTTTAGTTTGCTTTTCTCTTTTACTTATTTTAGAACTAGTCTATTTTATTGTTTTTTTTCTTTTATGGTTAGAGCCTTGTGTGCTCTAAGACAGCTTTGTTCACCCCCAAAGGTATGAAAATATTTCTCTAAGTCCCTCTCCCCACTCCAAAAGCTTCACACTTTAGTTTCACACTTAGGTCTATTACTGACTGAGTTTTCAATGTGAAGTCAGCTGTGTACTTGTGGCCATGATACATTCGAATGCACACTGCTGAACTGTATTTTCTAGTATTCTGTTTCTGGGTTCTACACAAAGTTTACAAGAGAGAATTACTTGTTAAGTTCCTTATCTTTAATATCTCTGCCAGGTTAGTGTCATAGTTGTGATGGTCTCACACAAATGCCTGTGAGTTAGCAAGTGTTCTTCTGTTTTCTGGACATTACTTGTTAAGGTTGGTTTTATTTCTTTGGTAAATGTTCAGAATAATTAATCTGCCTCAGGGTTGCTTTCCTCTTTTGAGGAAAAGTTCTTTTTTCTTTTTTTTCCGGCACTGGGAATTGAACTCAGGACCTTGCACTTGAGAGGCAGGTGCAGCACCACTGAGCTAAATCCCTGGCTGAGAGAAAGTTTTAAATTATGAGCTTTTGCCAGAGATAAGACTAATCAGATATTGTGCTTTTTTCTGTGTCAGTCACAGCAAGTGGCTTTGGCATGGTTTTGGTACGTGGGTTTCACAAAGACTCACAAAGGCTTTGTGAGAGTCACCTGCCATGAGAAGTTGTTTTTATTAGTTTTTTGTTTTTTTTTTTTTTGGTACCGGAGATCAAACTCAGGTCCTTGCACTTATGCAGCAGGCAGCGAAACCACTGAGCTAAATCCCCGGCCTGAGAAGTTGTTTTTACAGCAGTCTTCATAGCATAGGGTAGCAAGGGCTGCTCTGTCTGTGGTAATATGGACCTTGTTAGTGTCTGAGATTGGTAGTTTTCCTTTCTCTTTTTTCTTGAATAATTGTTAGAGGTGGTTTGTGTATTTTTTAGTCTTTTCAAGTATTGATTTTTTGGCTTTATTGTTTTTATTATAATTTATTTTATATTTTATTAGTTATTTAATCTTTGTTACCTTTATCCTTTCATCATCTTTAAATTTAACTTCTCTTTTTGGTCTAATTTCTTGACATAGATATTTAGATAATTTACTTGTCAGCGTTTCTTCTTTTCCAGTATCTGATGTAAGGCTTTAGTGTTTCCTCTAAGCATATATTGACTGTGTCCAGTAAAATGTGCTATGAATATTTATACTTTTGTTTCTTATATATATATTTTAAATTTCCTTTCCAGATCCTTTGAGCCTTGCATAGTTTAGCATTTCTAAGCCCTTGTCTGAGCTATCTACATTGCCATTTAATACAAATCTGATTGTGTTTAGAAAATAAATGGCACGATTTTAATCTTTTGAATTTGTTGAGATTTGCTCTGTGGTTCAGCAAGTGTTGCAAATGCTCTTCCGAATCTCGCAGTTTTTCTCAGTTATCATCTTTATTTCATCAGCACTTCTGAGATAGACATTTTCACAGTCATAGAATTCTAGGCTGGCGTTTAGTGCTTACTCCACTGTGTTTTAACTTCGATTAATATGCTGAAAAGTCAGGTGACAGCATTTTCTGCTTACTTGGTGGAGTGTTATAAACGTGACATTTATATCAGTTTTACCAATTCTGTTGTAAAGAACCCTGCGATTTTACAGTCTTTCACTATTTTCTTTCAGTCACTGAGAAATGTGTGCTAAAATTTCTTGGGATGATTTTAGTTTTCTTCATTTACATTTTTCAGTTACATTAGATTTCCTTCTTAATTTTGAGCTGTTATAACTTGGAATCATATTTTTCTTGTGGATCAGCATTTCAGTCACTGTGAAAAGCCCCCATCCCTATGGTCAGTGAAGGCCCTTCTCTGTGTTTACTTGTTGCTTTGTAGTGTAGACATCTCTGGCATACAGAATGCAACATTTTAAGTTCACTATGACAACCTTTTCAAAAACAGGACTACTATATATTTTAAAAAATTGTTCTTTGTCTGAGGAAGTAGTTCAGTGGTAGATTGCTTGCCTAGGGAGCATCAGGGCTTGGGTTTGATATCAGCATCAAAAAATAAAGTTCTCACTGCAACAAAATTTAAAAAATGCTTTCTTAGTGGTAACCATGGAAATTACCAGCTGGCTCTTTAACATATAATAATTAATGCTCCTAAATATGCTCGAAGAAAGAGATACTTTAATCCATTTTGCACCCTTTCCTACTTCTGCACCACTTTAAAACCCTGCAAAATGACTTTTTGCAAAGATTAAATATGTCTTCTGTTTCATCCTCTCACTTTCATCATTTTCAATATCCCTTATTCCTTTCATAATTACTGTGTTTTCCTCTGGTATCTGTCAAGAAACTTCTTTAGTATACCTTGTACTCCAGGTTCCAACAGCAACTACATTTTCTTTTAAAGGAGGAAGGTTTTATTTTGGCTTCTGGTTTCACAGGCTCCAGTCCATGGTAAGTTGGCTCCATTACTTTTAGGGCTGCGGCCAGGTGGAAACATCATGGTAGAAGGGCAGGTGGAGGAAAGCTGCTCAGCCCATGGCAGGAGGAAGGAGAGAAGGGGTGGGGGAGAGGGAGAGAGAGGGACAGAGAGCAAGAGGAGGAGGAGGAGGAGGAGGATAGGAGGCAGAGCCAGAGAGGAAGAGGCCAGGGAGCAGACAGAGTCCCCAAGGCCACATCCCCATGGCCCACCCCCTTCAACTAGGCCCCTCCTCCCAAATTTCCGTGATTTCCCAACAATGCCATCAAATTATGTTTTCATCAATAAATTAATGATGGATGGAGTTGGAGTCCTCATGATCCAGTCAGCCTCCAAAAGCCTCACTTGTGAACACTTCAGGCTTTTGGGGGAACCATTTTATATGTAAACCATACCAGTATAGATATCTTTCCATTTTTTTTTCCATTGGGAATTGTACCTTTACATGATGCATCTTGGTTCTTATTTTTCCCCATTCCTAGCCCGCCCTTCATGCCCTCCACTCTTCCCTATTTACAAAGACTTTCTTTCCATTTTTTCCATTTCTCATCATTTT